GGTTATTAAGTATTTGGATGAGAATACAGGAGACATGGTTATTAAGTCTGCACATGACACCAAAATTGGTGGTTTAGTGGACAGTGAAGAAGGTCATCTAAGAGTACAACAGGATTTTGATCAGCTGGGCCAATGGGCCGAGGAGTGACAGATAGAGTTTAATTTAGATAAATGTGAGATGTTGCAATTTGGTAAGACAAAACCAGGGCAGGACTTGTTAACGGTAGGGCCCTGAGGTGTGTTGTCAAACAGAGAAACCTGAGGGTTCAGGTTCACAGTTCCTTGAAAGTGGCACCATAGGTGGACTGGGTGGTGAAAAAAGCCTTGGCACACTTGCCTTCATAGGTCAGAGCAGTGAATATAGGAGTTGGGATGTCATATTGCAGCTGTACAGGACACTGGTAAGGCTGCTTTTGGAGTACTGTACAGTTCTAGTTGCCCTGCTATAGAAAGGATGTTATTAAACTGGATAGGGTGCAGAAAAGATTTAAAAGGATGTCACCAGAACTGGAGGGTTTGAGTTGCAAGAAGAGGCTGGATAGGCTGCAACTTCTTTTCCCTGGAATGTAAGATGTTGAGGGGTGACTTTATAGAGATTTCCAAAATCATGAGAAGCACTGATAAGCTGAATAGTCTTTTCACTAGGCTAGGCGAGTCCCAAACTAGAGGGTATATGCTAAGGTGATAGGGGAAAGATTTCAAAGAGATCTGAGGGGCAACTTTTCCCACAGAGTTTGATACATAAATGGAATGAACTACCAGAAGAAATAGTAGAGATGGATACAATTACAATATGTAAGAGGCATTTGGACAGGTACATAAATAGGAAATGGGTCTAAAGCAGGCAAATGGGAGTAGTTTAGTTTGGGAAAACTAGTTGGCATGGATGAGTTGGACTGAAGGGTCTATTTCAGTGCTGTATGATTCTATGACTGGAAAGAAATGGTAGAGACCATTGTGTCCATTACTCCACTTGTTCTTTAGCTTCCCTGGGAGAGTTTATCCAGCCCCATGTCAGCAATATTGTCAGGTTTGTCCCTGAATCAGGTGAGAGAGGTATTCTTGATCTGCTATCACTTTTATTACCCACTCCTATTCCACGTCACCCCATATAGATGAAGCAACTCATGGTCAATATGGTTTGACATCCTGTATTTGTGTGCAGAATTAGACTCTCCACTCATCAATATATTAATAACAACTGAGACATCCTCAGCAGGCGAGGGGACTCCAGTGCTATGCATCATCGGGGAAGGGCAGGTAAATTAGTCCAGATATTATACATAATCTATTCTCCAATGGAGTTCCTTTGCTAATATTGATGTGAATCATTCAAATGATATTCAGGATGGGTACACAAAACATGTTAAGTGTCTACTTAAAACCAAAAATGCATATTAATATATTATCCAATTAAAGGTACATTTGAAATTTCAAACTTTTTATTTCTGCATCAGTTCATTTGTACTGCTGCAATGAAATAAAAATTACCAGATTGACAGATTGTTAGTCATGTTATGCTGCATTACGAGACTGTGTACCAGCCGCTAATAAAACCTGTCATCACTTGCATCTGTCAGAGTGGACAACCTGTTTCTCACTGCCACCTGCTGGCAGGGAGAGTTACAGGTTCTACTCCTGCAAGCAAATAATGTGATAATTTGAGTGTCCTGCAGTTTCTAAAAGACTGTATTGTTATTATTTTACAACACTGCCTGGAAAGTTAAGACAAATATGGAGGTAAATAAGTAGAACCTCCTGTTATATATCTCTAAATATTACACTGGCACTACAACTGAACTGCATCTTGTGTAAGAGCACCTTGAACAAAGCAGCACTTACAACCAGGCTCACCTTAACTGAGGTCCAAGTATGTACTTGTGGTTTTGTTAACTGGCCCTATTGTGCTAAAATATACTTCCGTTTTAAATTTCCGAGGCACAGTTACAACAGGAAGTTTCATAATTGTTAAAACGCAGAAACCTTTTCACGTTTAAAAATACTCCCAAGAACTCCAGATCCTGGAAACCAGAAACAGTGACAGAAATTGCTGGGAAGACTCAGTGGGTCTGGCAGCATCTGTGCAGAGAAAGCAGAGTTTCAGGTCCAGTGACCCTTCAGAACTGAAAAACTCCAGAGTGAGTTTTCCCAGCAATTTCTGTTTTTATTTCTTTGCTTGCATTATTTCCTCTATATGATTGTCTGTAACTTGACTAGTCTCAACACTCCCAACAGTGAACAGTTAAAAAAAAATATTAAGCACTTATAGGCCTTGATGCAGAGAAACACAACTCTAAGTACTACTGCCTATCCCTTGACACAAGAATAGGTTCTGTCAGGATGAAATAATACACAAGATGCACAATGGGACATTGCTGTAATGTTGATACTCCAGTTTCTTAAAAGCAATCATGTCCATTATGAAATGACATTTTTCCTCTGACAACTTATTTCCAGACTCATCTCCTATAGCACTGCCCTGCCATACATTTGCCCTGCCCATGGGAACAAGCTGAAAATCTGTCTCAGGCCTTGGGTCAAGATTATAAGATCAAAAGAAGGCTGTTCACTCTTCTAACCTGTCAATCTGATGGTGATTAATTTGGATATCAATCCCAATGATGTTCCATATCCCTTGAACTAGGATCTATTGATTTCAACTCTGAAGATCTCAATTCTTCTCCAGCACATGCAACCACCTGCCAAAGAGAGTTCTGGATTTCCACAAGTCTCAGTGTGAATCAGTGCTCCTTGATGTCCCACCTCAATGATTTAAGATTATTCCCCGTTGCTCATGGTTCTTCCACAAGAGAAAACAGTTTATCTGTATCTGCCCTCTTGAATTCTTTCATCATTGTAAAGACCTTGATTAGTGTGCCTCTTGAACTCAAAAGAATCACAGAGTCCTTACAGTGAGGAAAGAGGCCACTCGGCCCATCGAGTCCACACTGACACTCCAAACAGCATCTCACCTAGACCTGGCTCTCCACTCCATCCCTGCAACCCCACATAACGTAATTTTAGGCAATCTGTTATCATAGCATAATAATTTAAGTCTGGGTATCATTATAACATATCTGCGCTGTATTCTCTTCAAAGTCAGTCCATCTTTCCTGATATTTGGGGCCCAAAACTAAAAACATATACAGGGAAACATGTCACTGGCAAGGGAGGTGTTAGAGTGAAGGTTCACCAGGTTGGTTCCAGGGATGAGGGGATTATCCTATGAAGAAAAGATGAGTAAATTGTGCCAGTGTACTCTCTGGAATATAGAAGAATTAAGAGGTAATTTAATTAAAACATACAGAATTACAAAGGGGGTTAAAGGCCAACTTAAAGATTGTTTTCCTAGCTGGGAAATACCAAACATAGCATCTTGGTCATGGAGACTAAGGCGAGGAGAAACACCTTCAAATTTCAAGGGTTGCGAATCTTTCTAATTCTCTATCCCAGGGTTTATGGATGCTCCATTGTTGGATATATTTCAGATTGAAAGAGAAGACCAGTCACAATCTTATTGAATTACCAGGTCTACTTCTGCCTCCATTTTTGCTCTCCTTGGGTCTGACCAAGGCTTTATATAACTGAAGTATCACATTCATTCCACTGTATTCTAACTACCTAGAAAGAGGTCGAATATCTATAATTTTGGCAATTTCTGGTTTACATAAAGAATTGTTACCCTCACAATCTACTTGAGTTTTGTGAGATTGTACCACTCATAGACAATAAGTTGTCTTAATTTTTTTCAATCTTTCTTACCATTCTTCCCATGATGCCTGTTCCCACTGTTTCCACTTCCACTTCTGTCACATACGCGGCATGTTCTTTCTTCACAAACAACATGAGCATCATTCCAACCAGTCGGACAAGCTTGATCTGAAACCAAAATTCTATTTTACTGAGGTTTCGAAAGTACACCTTCACAATACCAAGCATATAGAAGGTCAAACACAGCAGTGGTTTATGGCCACTATTTAACTGCTTCACCAGAACTTGGGCCTTTATATATCATATTTGTCACAACTTAGAGTTAAATTAGATCTCTTTTAGTTGTTCTCAGAAATGCTTGTATCATGAAGACTCAGGAGCAGAAACTAACTCCATTATATTTCAGGATTCTAATCATTACTGTGGGAAAGTGCTCCTGTGGATATTAAAGAACTAGATGGTGTTTGGTCCCAATATCAGTTTCCCTGCTTATTTTAAGTTAATATAGTGCAGTGGTTATATTTCTTAACACGTAATCCTGAGCCCCTGGCCCATTAGGAAACAAAGATTTGCATTTATACAACATGTTTGACAACTACCAGTTAGCTTAAACTGTTTTGCTAACAGTTAAGTACCTTCTGAAGTGTAGGCGCTGTTGTAAGATATAGAAAACTTGGCCAATAAGTGCTCAGCAAAATTCAATAAATGTTTTTATTACCAGATAACTGGTTTTATTAATGCTAATTGAGGGTAAAATATTGGGGAGTACACCTGGGATGCATTCCATTCTTCGAAATAGAGCCATTGGATTCTGTTATATCCATCCAAGCAGGATGATGGAGCTTTGGCTTTAATATCTTCTGAAAGATAGTATTTCCAACATTGCTTCCTTAGTGTCAGTTTTGATATTTGTGCTCGAGTCACGGAGGGTGATTAAACCCAGAACTGCATAATTCAGAGACATCAACGAAACAACAACTGACACAATAATATAGAGAACATAAACTCAAATTTTGCCATGGATGTTAGAGAATTTGCATCCAGTTTAAAATACATGGAATTCAATGGAAACTGGCCAAGTGACTACTGGATTGTTATAAGAACTCAAGATGGTTTACTAATACCCTAGGAGAAGGAAACTTACCATTCTTATCATCTGGCTCCAGTTCCCCATCAACACGGTTGACTGACAATTACCTTTCAAAGTAGTCTAGCAAGCCACTTTACTGAAGAAGTGTCAAATCGGACTTGAAATGTTAACTCTATTTCTCTCTCTAAAGATGCTGTCAGAGCTGCTGGCTTTCTCCAGCATTCTTTCTGTTTGTTAGCAGAGGAATGCCACATCTTCACCCCATTAACAGTCCCCAGCTACAGGATACTGATGAGGGAAATAGGTTAAAATGCCAGTTATCTCTTTTAAAGTTGTCATGACAAGAACTTCAGACCCCATGGATGTTAGAGAATTTGCATCCAGTTTAAAATACATGGAATTATGAGGAGAGATTGGCCAAACTTGGTTTGTTTTCACTTGAACGTTGAAGGATGAGGGCATTCTGACAGATGTTTACAAAATCTTGACAGGCATGGATAGAATGGCTAGTTTGAGTCTTTTTTGCAGGCTAGAAATGTCAATTACTAGGAGACATAGGTTTAAGGTAGAAGGGCGTAAGTGGCATAAGTTTAAAGGAGATGTGAGAGGCAAGTTTTTTTTTACACTGAGGGTGGTAAGTGCTTGAAATGCGCTGCCAGAGAAGGTGTAGGAGGCAGATACAATAGCAACGTTTAAGAGAAATCTTGAAAAAAAAATGAATAGGCAGGGAATAGAGCGATGTGGACAGCTTAGAGGCAAAAGATATTTAAGTTTAAAAAGGCATCATGTGTCAGCGCATCTTGGTGGGCCGAAGGACCTGTTCCAGTGCTATACTGTTTTTTGATCTTATGGCAAGGAGGCGGTGATGTAAATTCTCTTATTCCGTAACAAGCAGAGGTAAGTGCAGTACCACTGTAGCAGAGAAAAAATTACAGCAAAGGATTTAAACATTAACATGGGTACAAGGCACAAGCACAGGCTGTCTAAGTAGCTCTAACACCATAATTTGCAGAAAGACATCCTGCACATTAGATTTAATGGTAATGTTATCCTCCTGCACAAACATTTAATTTTGTTTCTCATTTCCTGAAGATGCACTCAATTCGATAATTGTCTGCAGCCTTTCCAGTGCATTTTTCACCGATGAGCCTCAACAAGGTGGCCAGGATTTTCCATGTCACAGCGGTCAGAGGATGATGGTTGGAGAAAAGCAATTTCCAAATGTGTGCTTCTGGCATGTCATGGTAGCAGTGAAATATGTGTGAGCTGTCTGATCAAGATGCCATTATAACCAGATCAAATCCTGTTCTCATCCAAGATCCGCACATTTTGCTCCCACTGTCCAATTATTGTTGGACTGGGAGCTAGAAGTCTTTGATGATTCTATATCTCAGACCAGGTTCACAGTTCAACTATGCTGTCCCACAACTGCCTTGGGTAACACCAACCAAATGAAAAGAATTCAAGATCAAACCACTACAGTGGTTCGTCACAATTTAATGCCAGTTAAATCACTTTTACAGGGATGCAATAAAATGCAATAAATTTACCTTTGCATATGTAGCTGAAGGATGAAGACTTTCAGAAACAGCCATGAACCACTCCTCCTCCTTTGGTGTATCATTAAAAAGGAATGTTTCTTTACTCAGGTCAATTTCCTGAAAACTTTTAAAAGTAAATAAATTCTGATTACCCTGATCTTAATCAGAAATACAACTGGAAATACGATTCAAACACAATTCTTTGAAACAGGTTTGGAAAGTAAACTATCAACAAGGCTTCAATTTTTACTAGCTTACAACCAATTCTTCAGTCACAACTGAGATACAAATAACATTGAGTTCAGATGTACTGGGCCTGCTACATCTGTGTTTTCACAGTGATACCAAAAAGGTTTGTAAAACAGCACTGTGTGCTGAAGCAGCACTTACACAACAGTGAGTTCAGAGAGTTGTGGATGCTCAGTCAATTAATTATGTTCAAGATTGACAGGTTTTTGGATACCAAGGAAAAAAAGCGATATTGGAATAGTGCCTGAAGTGTAGCTGATCAGCAATGATCTTACTGAATGCTTGAACTGACTCGAGGGGCAACTATTCCCACCTACTATCTTTAATGCCCTTAAAAACTTGATGTTAGTGTGAAGTTTTGGAGTTGAAGTGATTTGCAGCATTCAGCAACAAGACAATATCAATGATCAATATTTCATTATTTTGAGGTGTCTGAACAGAGCTCACTCTTTTAAAAAAAAGTTATTTTCGACTCATTATGCATAGGAAGTCATTCCGCTACTACATCTGTGCAAGTTTGCTACAAGACCCACTTGCCTATTTTCTTCACTATAATCCTGTAAAAACCTTTCTTTTTAAAATATATAACCAATTCCCAAGGGGCTCTTGTGGCACTGCGGTAGTGTCCTGTCTCTGAGCCAGAAGAACTGTGCTAAAGTCTCACATGCTCCAGAGGTGTGTGATGTTATGTCTGAACTCGTTGATTAAAGATATGTATAACTAGTTCCCTTTTGGATGTTACCATTGAATTTGCTTCCACCAGCCCTTCAGACAGTGTATTCCAGTTCTGAATGCAAGCAAAAGAAAAAGCTTCTCTTGCAGTGCCTAGTTAGCAACTAGCTCTGTGCATATTCATTCTAAGTCAATGTTTCTAGTTTATGTATTAAAATTCAGCAGGCAAAAATTCATCTACCCTCCTTTCCATGCCTGGATCTCTTGGACTCTTTGGGAGCAGTATGTCATTTACACTTCGATAATGGCGATAATGGTATTTTGTTTGATATACTGAATGATTTCAAAATAAAGATTGAGTACTGTTGTCAGAGACATACCCAATACAGTAGATATCAGGTGGTTCAGAATCATAGCTCAGCCAAGGCTTCAGATCCTCCTTGGGAGACTTGCCATTCACATTATACGTCCCTGCAAAAATCCTATGTGACAAAAAATACTTTTTTCAACACAAAGTGCAGAATTAGAGCAATGCAAAAGGTGCATAATCCATTTTGTGTTTGGGCAAAATGATGCCATTAGCCCAAAAAGGGAAGGAAATCAGTTGCAAGTAATTTACAATTACAGCCTGTCATAGTCAACACATAAGACATATACCTTACTCTGCAATTAGTCTTATATGCTCACACCAGTAACAGTAGTGATATAAAAACCGAAAGAACTGCGGATGCTCTAAATCAGGAACAAAAGCAGAAGTTGCTGGAAAAACTCAGCAGGTCTGGCAGCATCTGTGAAGAAAAAAATCAGAGTTAACGTTTCGGGTCCTTCTGAGGAAGGGCTACCGAACCCAAAACAGTAGTGATATCTCAGCTACAAGGATAAAATCAAGTGAAGGTATAGATAAATTGAAAAAAAAGTGATCTTCAAAGCACACCAGTTCCTCATCAGTCTCAGTTTTTATAAACTAAGTGACATTTGATAAGCACACATAAATACTAAATGAGCTACAGCTAGTGCTACTGACTTCAGATACAGACAGTTTAGGGGGAGAAGAAAGAAGCTTCCTTGGAAAAGCTGCCCTTGTTTGATTGACAAGCTGATTTTTAACTGCTGGTTGATAATGCAAGTGATTGGAAGCAGATACTGACCCACTATGGAGATGGAGGGTAATGATCCCCAGAACTAAGGCAAGTGATTGGGGTGAAAGTTGGAAAAGGGTTGTGCTTAGGGTGAGGGCTGGAAAAGCCACGAAAGAGAATGTTGGCAGCTGAGATTGCAGATATGCATCTGTCTTGCATCTGTTTGGTGTTGCAGGGTGCACACATTCAACATTTAAACAGCTAATGCTTTACTCCTATTTCTCAAGATAAAACTGGTTCCAACAACATAGTTGTGCGTTTAAACTAACCTATAGTTTCTGATGTAAGTGTATTTCTCTTCTTGCTTCAACAGCTCTGATTTGATCAGATTGTCCCGCAGGCCAAACTGTGGCATTGTGAGGATTTGCGCTTTGCTTGTCGGCAAGATGTCAGCTTTGCGGACCATATCATCAGTTATGTCAGGTTTCATTTTCTCAGGCCTTGAAACACAAATAAAACATTTTTACCATCTTATGTACATCACGGCATGGCATATTGACATTGAGGTAAAATAGTGAATCTACATAAAGCCTATGAAACCACAGCTGGAATTCTTGTATCATTCTAGACTCCATGCTGTTGGACTAAGTTGTGACAAGAGAGAAGGTACAGCGTATAAAGATGTTCTCCGATATGAGGAAATGCAGATTTAACAAAATACTTCAAAGATTGAGGCTTCTAACTTTAACAGCAGAAATGAGGGTATGAGTAGGTAGAAATAGGCTACTTTCAGAGATGGAACATGGCTATGAAATTAAATGCAAGAAATTACAGCTGGGGATGCAAAAATTATTCTTCAGAACAAAGGTTGTGAGGCAATGAAATGAATGCTAAAACAAGGTGGGAAAGTTTGCTGAAGGAAAAGGGGAACAAACGGAAATAGATGCACAAAAGGCTCATTGAATTATTGATGTGGAATAGAAACATTAACACAGTCTGGCTGACCTGAATAGCCTGTTTGCACACTGGAATCCCATATAATGTCCTCTAGCAATAACAATACATCCCTTGACACTCAAGAACTCATTCTTGATGATCACAAGATGGCCATGACAGAGATATGGATAAAGAGGCAATGACAACTTTTCTATAATTGGAGCTATGCCCTGCTCAAACTGCTAATGGTAGTGTTGCACTCATCTTTAAATCAAATCTTGGTCCATCTCCCTTTGACAACTTTCCATTTTATATCACTCTTCACAACTCACATTTAAAATCCGAAATTGATATTGCCAATGCCATGATGGCTTTCGCTCCTGTGCCTCTGTATTGGACAACTTTTCATTATCGGGGTTTTCAAGCCACCATCTCAATTCTCTGGTTCTCACTCTGACTTCAGGACCCTTCTTTCCTCCCTAAACTGCTCCTTTCAGATAAAGTCTCCCACTCACATTCACAGCTACCCCTTCAATCTCGGCACCTCACACCTCATTACCCTTGCCGTGAATACTGGTGTAACGTAATTTCTGATCTTTCATTGGATCACCTTCCTCTCAATTTCCCATAGCCCAGCCCACTTCTTTTCAGTGTCCCACCCTGGAAAAAACTCTTCTGCCCAAGTTACTTGTTGAACGTTCAAGCTCCCAACTAAGCTTCCACCATCCTACTCCAAGACCTCTTAATGTTTTCTGGCTGGATAGGGCTGCACTTATCTAGTTTCATTTATAAACATCTACATTGTTTAATAATATGATCACTAAAAATGTTTTATTTTCTCCTTGATGCATTGCAATCTTCCTTGATTCATAGAGTCATACAGCATGGAAACAGACCCTTCGGTCCAACTTGTCCATGCCGGCTGTTTTCCCAAACCAAAATAGTCCCAGCTGCATGCATTTGGCCCATCTCCCTCCAAACCTTTCCTAATCATGTACTAATCCAAATATTTTTTAAATGTTGTAACTGTACCTGATTCACCACTTCCTCCGGAAGTTCATTCCACACATTAACCACTCTTTGTGTAAAAAAGCTGCCCCCATGTCCTTTTTAAATCTTTCTCCTCCCACCTTAAAAATATGAACCCGAGTTTTGAACACCTCTACCTTAGGGAAACGATCTTTGCTATGCACCTTAACTATGCCCCTCGCCATCGCAAGAATTTCTTGGTATTTCTTGAACAAGCTGTGTTTGCCAAGACTCCAGAAACAATCGTGTATTACTACAGTCTTGACCACGTGTGCCAGAACATCACAGCAACAGATTTTGGAATATTCTAATCCTTAACATTTTGCCTTCAAGAATATCTTCAATGGTCAGAAAGTTTCCTTTCAAGTAAACCTCTACACAGAAAGAAATTGTTTTTGCCCTGAGGTGAGCAAATGAATGAATGCTTTGAATTATTTAGAGGAATAAACATTTAGACTTCAATATTAGCAATTACTATGTTAACCAATTATTGCATTCTCATTGAATAAGCCTTGTTTTGACAACAAACCAATGCTTGCATTAGAAAACTGGTTGATAGACCTTTTTATTCAAAACTTGATATAGAAAAGAGATTTAATCGGCCAAAATGGTAATGTGGAAATATGTTAATTTTATCTTGTGACCTGTGAAGTAGTGGGCTAGGGCAACAGTGCACTCTTCCAGCCTTGGTCATAACAACATGCAAGGCTGAACTCCCACATTCTACCTTCCGCAAACTTGACATCATGCAAAATTTTATGCTCAGATCCTGCACACTCATCACTCTTGTGCTTGCCAACAATGTTGAGGTGTTACCTAAACACGAGCCAGTCACAGAATTCTCCTTGGTGTTTTAAAATCACTTCAAGGGCTCACCCCTTTATGTCTGGAACCTTCTCCAGTCCTACTTCCTCCCTGAACCCCAATCTGTGAACTTTGCAAATTCCAACCTATTGAGCATTTCCATTTTTAATCACTACTGACAGACATGCCTAGACTCTAAGCTCTGGAATTGCCTCCTGTCTTACTATCTCTTTTTCCCTCATTTGAGGCACTTCCTAAAATCTGACCACTTTTGATCACTTAGCCTAATATTTCCTTACACAGCCCAGTTTTGTTCCATAATGTACTCTGAACCACCTGGGGATATTTTATTAGGTGCTGTATAAATGAAGCTGCTCTTGTTAAAAGTAAATGTGGCTGGTAAAAATTAGGTAACACCACGATTCAGACTCTAATCTTGTAATAATTGTAGTGCAGAATGCACCAAAGGCCACCTTATCTGTACAATATCTTCCTCCAAGGTCACGTTGAAGAAAAAGGCAGATGATGGATAACTTGAATACATAACTAGTTAAAAGGAACGTGTCAGTGAATGCAGTAACTTATGTAAGAGACTTTCAGAAACACTGGGACAGCCCTCTCATACACGTCATTCTAGACAACTTTAAAAGGTCCATCATGTGTTGCTTTGACAGAGGGAAGGAATTGCAGTTATATCTTTCACAATCACACAATGTCATTACAGCTAATTAAGTACTTTTGAAATATAACCTGTGTCGCAACATAGAAAAATTTACCAGCCAATCTAAGGACAGAAGATCCCACAAACAGTAATAAGAAAATCACCACATAATCTGTTTGTTGAGTAATAAACTGTCTAGAGAAGTATCATTTGGTTTCTAAAGCCTGTTCCTTTCAAATAACAAAATTAATCTATTCAAACTGTAGGATATATCCAACCTATTTGTCACAGGTGAAAGCTCTATAAATATTTTGATTTGCCAAATGCAAGTCAATACCCGAGTATTCAGCCATTTCTACAGTTCAGTTACTCAACAGTCCAGAAGGTGCCTATGCTGAAATCCAAGCAAATAATAGATTTAAAGCACTCATAATGGATTCCTATCAGGTTCCTTTTTAAAACATAGGCAAAAACTAGTGTGAAAACATTGTTGCTGTCGCCATTATGAAAAGAAAACAAGAGATTACCAGGCCATTTCCTATAGTGTGTAGGGAAGGGTACTGAAAGTGAAAATCATTCAAATTAGTATTGCCAATACATATTTCACGGCAGACTAATCATTTGAATAACATGTTGCACGCTTCTGCCACAAGTACACATACAAGCTGCAGACAAATTTACACGAAACAAGTTTTGAAGTGGAATCTTTCAGTAAAATGATGTTGAACATTTACCTCTTGTTGCTCCCTTCCAGTTAGAATTTCCTGACAAAGTCTTCTACAAGAAATGCTTTCTTTAATATTCCTCTAAAGAATATTTGGCTCTGCAAAGGCTGAGTTGATAAGTGCACACTTATTGTAGAACTTAGCTATTTCATAATGAGATGCCCCACATTGTCTGGAATACTTCTATCAGCACTGCTGGTGACGCCCCACATTGTCTGGAATACTTCTATCAGCACTGCTGCTGCAGAGCAGGTTAAAGAACAGGACAGCTTTGCAGTATTTAAATTGACACAGCAGATGTGACCACAAGGGAATCACAATGCATGTTTTTGCATGTTGTTTTTAACTGATGCTTTACATGGTAAGGTGACACCCTTCTGTCATCCTTTGTGCAAATTTTACAAAAAGTAAAAGGAAGAAAATGTACTAAACGAGGAAAAAATACATCACTGCAATAACAATATGTCAAGTAAACAAATCAGAACAATATTTCAGAACATTTAAAAATTAAACCTTCAAGAGAAAGCAACACAAATATCTTAATCATAATCAAACCCACAGACCCTTCTTTGTTCTCACATACTTTGTTGCAGGACGACGTGCAGGGCAGCTTGGGGAGGCATCAGAGCACGTTTCTAGGTCAGACGAATGTCTATGAACAGCAGTAAAATGCTATTAAAATAACGTCATGAGCTTGATATTACAGCCTGTACTTTATACGATATGGAATCAGTGTAAATGCTGATCATAATTGCATTAAGTTAATTATTGTGCTTACAGAATAACTATAGCTTTATCCAATTTGGTCACTATTAAAAGAAATACAATATCAATCAGCTGATACCCTAACAAGCTAACTTCTGGACCTCGGTTTTCAAACACAGTGCAAACCACAAGACAGTCAGGCAATTCAATTTAATTGTTTAACTTACATCCTTAAAATCCTAAATGTAATTGTCACAACTCTACTGGAAAGACTACACCAATAATCATGCTCCACAGTTCCAAAAGCTGTTGCAAAATGCACATATGTATTAAATCCTAACGAGAATACCAAAATGACCAATCTGCCTGACTGACTGCTACTTAGGTTAAAAGCAATTCACAACTGGTTGCTTCAGTAACAATACTAAAATCCCTAATTATTGTAATACACTTAATTTCAAACAAGAACTTCCAAGTTATGCAACTTAAACTACACCCTTTCAAAATCCTAAACACACACACACAATCACCATTAACATATACAAAAGACACACCTTCCATGGATGGATAAAAAAGACATATTAAACAAAAATTGTGAAGATCAAAAGTTCAGACTGCAGGTGGAAAATTATTTTCCTCTCTCAGTCCTTTTGATTTTTGCAATGATAATACACTGTAGTCTGTAGGGTGAAGGTGTTCTTTGATTTGATAGTTGATTTGATGAACTTAGGTCTTTTGTTGCATGAATTCTTTCTTTTTAGCTTTCTTGTTTTTTCTGTTCCTTTTGTCATAAAGAAAGCGAGAGAGAAAGAGAGACAGAAACCAAAAGAGAGAGAGAAAACGAGAGATAGAGAGGGGAATGATGATGTTTTTGTCTAAGTTCTGAATGGTCTTTTCCACTCTGCTGCTGTTGGCACTTCATGCTTTTTAACACACCGCAGCTTAAAAAATGAAAGGGCTGTTGTCAGGGAAAATTTCATGAACTCAGAAGATTCATAGTGCCAATCATTCACAAAAATAGTATTTCCCCATTTACGAACATCCGACTTACGAATGCTTGTACTTACAAATGCAACCCCATGCAGGGGTATAATTTTAAAGGCTCGTCATACAAATAATCCCTTTAATTATAAATGGATACTTTATGTTGTCCTGCATTGTGTTCTGACCTGCGTACAAAACTGACTTGCAAATGACTTCAATAATGGAACCCATTCACAACCTTGGGGCTGCTTGTACTCCATCTTGTTGCTTCAAGAAGCAACAGTGCCTTACACAGCTCAACAACTTCCAAGTTTCAAAACTCTCCAAAAATACATGGTCTCTTCCATAATTAAATTAATTTAATTATAGTGTATCACATATCTTACCTTCCTGCGATTGGATCAACACAGCCACCTTCATACACATGACTGTCCCTTTCTTTACCGCCATGTTTGATTGCTAACAGATCAGAATCGCCTGGAATCAAACAAAAAATGCATGGTCACACAAAAGAAAGCATCAACAGAATGGTTCAGTAACTCACAACTGACTGAGCTAGCCGAGTCCTAAAGGAAATGGCTGCTGAATTAAATCTGCAGCAGGTATTGAGGGATCCAACCAGAGGGAAAAACCTAACTGACCTCATCCATACCAATCTACTTGTCCCAAATGCATCTGTCCATGACAATAGCAGTAAGACAGAACACTACATTCTATATAAGGTCCCATCTTCACATTGAGGACACCCTACATCGTGTTGTGTGACACTACCACTATGCTCAAAGTAGCAGCGTTTGAACAGATCTAGCAACTCAAAAGGCATCCACGAAATGCTGTGGGCCACCAGCAACGAAAGAACTGTATTCAACTGCAATTTGTAACCTCATGACCTGGCATTTTCCCCACTCTAACAGTACCATCAAATAGGGAGATCAATCCTGTATCAATGTAATGTGCAGGAGGGCATGTCAGGAGTAGCATTGGGTATACCTATAGATGAGATGTAAACCTGTTGGAGCTAAAACATAGAGGAAGGAATACGCAATGGATCTAAGTGATTCCATAACAACAGAGCAGATCTAAATTATTGCTGTTAAGCTGAAATCTTGCTACATCCAGTCATGAATGGTAGTGGACAATTAACAACTCATGGGAGGAGACGGCTCCACAAATATCCCCATCCTCAATGATGGGGAACCAGCACATCAGTAAAAAAGAACAAGGGTGAAGCATTTTTATCTGCCTTCAACCAGAAGTACTAAATGAATTATCTATCTCAGCCTCTTCCCAAGGTCCCAGCATCACAGGTGCCTGCCATCAGCCAATTTGATTCATTCCATGTGATATCAAGAAATAGCTAGAGGTAATGGTTACTGAAAAGGTCCCTGACAACATTCTGTTATTAGTATTGAAGATTGTGCTCCAGGACATGAGCACACCTAGCTTCACTGCTCCAGTACAGTTTCAACACTGGCATCTATCCGACAATATGCAAAGTTATTGAGGTACATCCAGGACTCAAAAAGCAGGACAAATCCAACCCTGCCAATTACTGCTATCAGTCTACTCTTGATCATCAACAAAGCGTTGGAAAGGATCATTGACTTTTTTTTATTCATTCACAGGATGAAGACATCGCTGGCTAGACAGCATTTATTGCCCATCCCTAATTGCCCAGAGGGCAGTTAAGAGTCAACCACATTGCGATGGGTCTGGAGTCAAATGTAGGCCAGACCAGGTAAGGACAGTTTCCTTCTCAAAGGACAATAGCGAACCAGACAGGTTTTTCCCAACAATCAACAATGGATTCATGGTCATCATTAGACTCTTAATTCCAGATATTTATAGAATTCAAATTCCACCATCTGCCATGGCCGGGTTCGAACCTAGGTCTCCAGACTATTATCGGGGTCTCTGGATTAACAGTCCAGCAATAATACCAGGCCATCACCTCCCCTGCTATCAAGCAGTACTTACAAAGGAATAGCCTGCACACTTATGGCAGTTTGAGTCCTATCAGAGTTACTCACTTCATTACAACCATGGTCCAAATATAGACAAGGAGCTGAATTCCAAGGTTGAGGTGAAAGTGACTGCACTGGATATCAAGGCTGCATTTACCCTCACAAAACTGGATGCAAAGAAAATTGAGGGGGAAAAAATTCTCCACCAGTTGAAGTCATACCGAGCACAAACAAAAATGGATGTGACTGTTCGGGGGTCAATCATTTCAGCTCCAGGACACCTCTGCAGAATTTCCACAACAGTTGTGTCCTAGGCCCAATCATCATAGCCTTCCCTCCATCGTAAAGTCAGAAGGAGGGAGTGTTGCTGATGACTGCACAATGTTCAGCACTTCTCAGATAACAAAGCAGTCTAATTCTATATGCAAGATCTGGACAAAATCCAGGCTTGGGCTGAGACAGAGCAATTAACAGTATTGCCAAACACAAGTACCACGTAATGGCCATTTCCAACAAAGAGAATCTAACTATGACTCTTGACATTCAATGGCATTATCATTATTGAATACCACATCATCATCATCTTGTGAGTTACCACTGACCAGAATCTGAACTGGGCCAGCCATATTTCATTACAGCAGCTACAGAGCAGGTTGTAGGCCAGGAATTCTAGGTGATTAACTCACTTCCTGTGGCCCCAGTACATGTACACCATCTAGAAGACAAAAATCAGGAGTATGAGTACATTCCATTTGCCTGGAAAAGGGGCCAGCTCTGACCACACTGACTAAGCTGGACACCTTCCAGAACAAAGCAGCCCACTGAATGGCATTCCATCCACTAACTTCAACATCCATTCTTTTGACCACCAACACACCATAGTTGCAGTGTCCACCATCAACAAGATGCACGAGAACCACACATCTCCGCTCCTTTGACAGCAGTTTTTAAAAGCACAACTTGAAGGGCAATAGCTGCATGGGGACACCACTACCTGAAAGTTCCGCTCCAGGCCACACACCATGGAACTATGTTGCTGTTCCTTCACGTCGCTGGGCTAACATTCTGCAACTCCTTTTCCAACAGAAGTTGGTTTTCATACACCCTGTGGACTCAGTGGTTCAAAAAGGAGCTCATCAACACCTTTTCCAGCGAAATTAGGGGTGGGCAACAAATGCTGATGCCCACAGCCCGCGAATGAATTAAACAAACAGCGTTAGAGATTACTTCAATTCTTCAGAAACACATCGAAAAATTTATAAAGGGTGCAGCAAAAGGGAGAATAAAAACTGCTTACAACAGCTGTAGTAAAATCGAACAAGTAGCTGAGAAACTCAAATGAGGAGCCTGCTATGGGACCTGATATTAATAAACAAGCAGGGGAAGCTGGACTGCAAAGGCATCATTAACCAGCTTTACCATGTTCTTGTCTAGCATTCTCACAACTTTCTTCACACCCAAATCACTTACTGGCCATCAGGAATAGACACTGGACCCCTCTTCAAGTCCAGGGCACTGAAATGTATGGGACAAAAGTATGAACCTAACCACAGGGAGCTCTGAAAATAAATTCACCATATTTGTAAATCTGTGAATTAGAATCAGGAAAAACAAATCAATAAGCAGGAAACCTGTTGGATTACTGTAAAAAATGGAACAGTTCTCTTAAACCCTTCAGGGAAGAGAACCTTCTAAGGACAGGAAACAACTGCAATATTTCACTCAAGTGGCTATTTAGTACCATAGATATTGACTAATTTAACAATGGCCATTTCAAAAACAGTAGTGCAAAATCAAAGCAATGACTCAGGCTAAGGAATAAACTTAGGACAGGAATAAAAATAAGCAAATTCTTCATCAGCTCAGTACTTACTGGGAGCAGCAATAGCAGCAATGGCGGTGATGGCAGCAGCAGCAGCAGTGGCAGCGACACCAGCAGAAAAATACGTACAAAGTATTGTTGAGTGAATAGGTGGTGCACAGGCAGGGCTAGACAGCAGTAGGAAAGTACTATTAGTTAAGAACTGGGAGTGAACCGCCAACACAGGTGCAAAGCTTTTTCTATGCAAAATGACAGCAAGGGGAAAGAAATAAAAGCTCAGGTGTAACATATATATTATATTTTGCAGGATGCACCACAACCAAATATATTACAGTACTGATAAGTATTGAATACTAACTTCCAACATCTGGTTGTTAAACTTTATACTTTTCATGGATTAAAACAGTTTTCAAAATGAAAATTGCATCGACCTAAAATAGCTACCGTGGTCCTCTGAGTACAGACTGAGGCAAACATTGAATGACCACTATGGAATAACTTAAGCTGACTGCATTAAAAGTAACACTTTTATCTAAAGACATTGAAACCAGGCATCTGAGTTGGCATCAAGAAAATTGCATGTCCTGTTTAGTTCACACTTGTGTGATAATTTTACATGTTGAGAGGTGAAAGACTGGCCATCCAATTCACCAACTTGAAAAAGATAATGGCCCAAGATTCTGAAATATACAGTGAACTGTATTTCAGCAGCTGCTTTTGAGAAGCAGAACAGAAAGAAACATGAAATTGTGCCAAGAACTGGAATTCCCACCCTATATCTCTCATTACCTTGGAATTTGGCACCTGATGAAATAGTAACTTGGGAAATCAGCCATTCACCAACAACTCAAAGACATCTACAGATTCCCCTACTGCTGAGGACACAAGTCAACCATTAAACAACTGTAGTCACAGGTTATGAATGGAACAACTTAAAGGTTCCAAAGACTTAAACTGTATAAACTTTATTCCCCCTGTCTGGAGCAGACATTTTCCATTTTAAGCTTACTTGTGTTTGTTTGCTTCTGATTTTAAACCTTTTTAAAATTTTTATTATTATTTCTCAGGCACAGTAATAAGATTAGTAATAAAACTAAAATTTATCTTTCTTTCACTCAAAAAACATTGTTAATTGATTCCTTCATTTTCTAGTGAAATACATTTTAATTGAAGTGTAACAGCTATGTGGTAAATGGAAATAAAAACATGTGTTGTGACCAACTGAGAAGCATTATAAAGGGAACAAATTCCCCCTCCTCAGCTAGTCGTGAGATATTCTTAAAGCAGTGAACATTAATGGATTGGTTGCATCTTAGGTGCAATAAACAGGAGAATTTGTGCACAGCTGATCAATTCATGCTTCAGAACCGCACAGCAAAATGTATAAACAAACTAGATACAGAAAATAAAACCTTATCAAGCTTGCTGACATTAAAAGACAGTGACATTAACAGTTTAGCAGAGGGCTAAATGTTGATTATGCAACTGGGTAAACACATCAAATTAATTTACTCTAAAGAACATGAAGTAATCCATATTGATCCAAAAATACTGTGTTACAAGTATATAATAAATCACAGTATTATTACAGTACAGAAGGAGGCCCAGAATGGAGACGAATTGGTCCAAAACTCAAGACAATTTAAGGTATGCGCCAATTTTAAAAAAGAGTGCTAGTGCGTAAAACCACA